CCCTGCCAATCCTCACGCGCTGGCAGGGGGCGCACCTTGATCAGACTGGCCTCGCATGATCTCGGCTGCCCTGGCGCGAAGAGCGGCCGAGGCGCCTGCGCCCGAGCCCCCGCAACCAGGCGAGCTTGCATCAGGATCTCCCTGCGGATGTCCAGGAGCACTGGGGCCCTGAGCCCACTCCCCATCGCCAGGCGCAGCGGCAGGTTCAGGCCCAGCGACCCTCCACTTTTTGGCAAGGCGCCCAAGGTGCTCCTCATGCGCCCCCTTGATCTCGTTGGCCGTCGCCTTCGCCTGAGAGAAAACTGCGCCAGCTCTTGGATGCCATCGCGCGGGCGCTTGCCCCTCAGCACGGGCTCCACTTGGTCGGCCTGGGACAGCTCGAAGTCCTCGATGCACGCCAGCAGCTCCGAGGGGTCGATGTCCAACTACTGCGAAAAAGTGCCGTCCATGATCGAAACCGAGGAACAGGGCACTGACTTGGCCCCACCGCCCTCCTGACGGGGCTGGGTAGTCTGCTCGCGCAGGGCGGCGACCAGACGGCGACGGTGAGCCTCCGCCACCTCCACCTCCTCAGTGAGCTTGGTGACCAGGCCTTCCTGCTCAACCATCTGCAGCGACCACTCCTCGAACCTCTGGGCTGCGCCTTGAAGCTTGCGTTCGAGGCCGCGAAGCCTGCTGTGGGCCACGGTGGCTTGATGCTGCAGCGTGGCCCCCTTCCCGGCGGGCGGAGACTTGGCCAGCTCACGGTGCCGCGCTGCTCCCAGCGCATCGCCAGACTTGGCCAGCAGCTCCGCCAGCGCCGCAGGCTCCTCGCGAGAGAGAGAGAGAGAGAGAGAGAGAGAGAGAGAGAGAGAGAGAGAGAGAGAGAGAGAGAGAGAGAGAGAGAGAGAGCAGCGGCTGGAGCACGAGCCCGGGCCGCAGGAGCTGCACCGCCCTTGCCATCTCCGCTGCCGGCCAGAGCGAAGCACCCAGGCGGGCCCGAGGAAGCCATGGGCGAGAAGGGGCTAGCTCCGCCGCCGAAACCATTCGACCATGCCCCACCCGGTGCTCCGACGATGAATGGCGAGCACGGCTGGAGCGAAATCCACTCGGTGCCACAGTGCTTGCAGCACCTCCAGCGCATCTCGTTCTTCTTGCAGCCGCAGGTCGCACAGGTCCAAGTTGCCGGCGGGGCAAGGAATTGAAGTCCAGGCACGCGCGCAGCCCGGGGTGGAGGAGCAGAAGAGCCACCAGGGTACAGCGCGAGCTCCATCTCGACATCGGCAGGCGACGGGAAACGCTGGCCTCCCGCGCCTTCCTTGCCGACAACTCCAGCACCAGACTTGCCCCCGCCGCCTTCCCCCACGGCTGCGGAACGATGTGGAAGAGAGCGCGAAAGAACGGCCCTCAACCGAAGATCGATGACTGGCGGGCGCAAAGTGCCGTTTTGAGTCGCTGCACCTGCAACGCTCAAAAATTGAGCGCAAAAAAGCCGCTTGAGTCAGAGCGGCTACGGAGGGCGGGGCTTGTCACAAGCCCGTGATATTCACAATGCTGCCCGCGCGCTCCTTCGATGCCCCCCCCCCCCCCCCCCGCGGGCGAGCGCCGCGCACATGGGCTCGGAATTGAGCATGTCGGTGCTAACAGGGACAGCGCGAATGAGTTCGAACGCGTCGATGTCGGCCACGATATGCAGCGCACCCTTGTGGCCGATCACCCCAGGCTTGAAACCTGACTGCCACAGTGCTGACTTGGTCACCTCCTCAAAAGACTGCCTGGTACACTGCGGACAGGGCACGCTTCTTTTGACGAGAGCGCAACGGAAGGTCTCCTCGAATGCGAAGGTCACGCTGCAACTGGTCACGAAAGCCCATCCACTTCATGCCGTTGCCGTTGCACGCCTGCTTGAAACCAAGGGCATGCACCTTGGACTTGAAGACGAGCTTGCATGTCTGACTCGCCCCATGGAACTCAGGAGTGACCTTGCCCCCGCCAATCTCACTAGGGACGACAATCTTCACCTGGTCGAAATTAGCTCTGCTCGTCCTCTCCAGAAGCGATCTTGGGAAAGTGCCTACAAACTTACTAGCTGGATCCCCCATGCCCTGCTCAACGTCAAGTCCAACGACACGACGAGCTTTGGACGCGAGCACCTTCTGACGATCTGATCCTCCCCCGAGACTGCTGGGGCTGGAACCACACGCGCCGGCAATGGAGCTCGAACTCCCAAGGGCTTTGATGCGCTCATCCTGCTTTGACATCATCTCGATAATCGGCTGACGCTCAGCACCTTGCGCGGAGAGCTGGCCTTGCAGGCCAGTGACGGATACCTGGATTTCGTCAGCGATGGTCCTCGCTCTGGGCGGCGAGCATCTGCTTCAGCTGCTCCATCATGGCTGGGTTGGCCATCACGCGTGGCGAGGCTCTGACGGGACGGGCAAAATGCCCGAAAGCAAGGTGCTTTGGCGCACGACAGGCAAGAGCGTGGGCTACCCAAGATTGGGGCGCTTGGGCCACCCCTCGGCCGCGTCCAAGTTCGAAGCGTCAGGGACACACGTTTCGAACTGGATCCAAAATGGCTACGGAGGACGAGGAGGAGGAGGAGGATTAGGAGCGAGGAGGAGCGAGGGGAAGAAATTAGCCTGGCGAAGGACCCAACCATATGCAGTTGTGAGTAATGCTGGTGTGAGCACCGTCTTCGGTGGATCTCCCTATGGTGCCACGAACCGTTTGAGGGGTGTGCCGAAATGGATGTGGGGGCGGCATGCGAACGTTGCCACTGGGGCCTTCGGTGGAGCTCCTTATGGGGCCACGAAACGTGTAAGGGGTGCACCGAAGTTGGTGTGGGGGCGGCATGCGAACGCAGCCACTGGGGCCTTCGGTGGAGCTCCTTGTGGGGCCACGAAACGTGTGAGGGGTGTGCCGAAATTGGCGTGGGGGCGGCATGCGAACGCAGCCACTGGGGCCTTCGGTGGAGCTCCCTGTGGGGCCACGAAACGTGCGAGGGGTGTGCCGACATGGGTGTGGGGGCGCATGCGAACCCAGTCATTGGGGCCTTCAATGGAAATCCCAATGGGGCCACGAAACGTGTGAGGGATGTGCCGAAATTGGTGTTGGAGAGGCATACGAACCAGAACACTGGGGCCTTCGGTGGAGAGCTCCCTATGGGACCACGAAACGTGTGAGGGGTGGGCCGAAATTGGCGGTGGGGAGGCATGCAGACCCTGCCAATGGGGCCTTCGGTGGAGCTCCCTATGGGGCCACGAAACGTGTGAAGGGTGTGCCGAAATGGGTGGTGGGGAGGCATGCGAACCCTGCCACTGGGGCCTTCGGTGGAGCTCCCTATGGGGCCACGAAACGTGTGAGGGGTGTGCCGAAATGGGTGGTGGGGAGGCATGCGAACCCAGCCACTGGGGCCTTCGGTGGAGCTCCCTATGGGGCCACGAAACGTGTGAGGGGTGTGCCGAAATGGGTGGTGGGGAGGCATGCGAACCCTGCCACTGGGGCCTTCGCTGGAGCCCCCTATGGGGCCACGAAACGTCTGAGGGGTGTGCCGAAATGTGTGTGGGGAGGCATGCGAACCCCCACGGGGCCTTCGGTGGAGATGGGGCCACCGTGTGAGGGGTGTGCCGAAATGGGTGGTGGGGAGGCATGCGGGTGGGGCCTTCGGTGGAGCTCCCTATGGGGCCACGAAGCGTGTGAGGGTGTGCCGAAATGGGTGTGGGGAGGCATGCGCATGCCACTGGGCCTTCGGTGGAGCTCCCTATGGGGCACGAAGCGTGTGAGGGGTGTGCCGGGGCATGCCACTGGGGCCTTCGGTGGAGCTCCCTATGGGGCCACGAAACGTGTGAGGGGTGTGCCGAAATGGGTGGTGGGGAGGCATGCGAACCCTGCCACTGGGGCCTTCGGTGGAGCTCCCTATGGGGCCACGAAACGTGTGAGGGGTGTGCCGAAATGGGTGGTGGGGAGGCATGCGAACGCAGCCACTGGGGCCTTCGGTGGAGCTCCCTATGGGGCCACGAAACGTGTGAGGGGTGTGCCGAATGGGTGGTGGGGAGGCATGCGAACGCAGCCATGGGGCCTTCGGTGGAGCTCCCTATGGGGCCACGAAACGTGTGAGGGGGTGCCGAAATGGGTGGTGGGGAGGCATGCGAAACGCCACTGGGGCCTTCGGTGGAGCTCCCTATGGGGCCACGAAAACGTGTGAGGGGGTGTGCCGCATGCGAACCCTGCCAGGGGTGTATGGGGCACGAAATGGGTGTGGGGAGGCATGCGAACCCTGCCACTGGGGCCTTCGGTGGAGCTCCCTATGGGACCACGAAACGTGTGAGGGGTGTGCCGAAATCGGTGGTGATGATGATGATGATGATGATGATGATGATGATGATGATGATGATGATGATGATGATGATGATGATGATGATGATGATGATGATGATGGGAGGAGAGAGGGGGGGGAGGAGGAGGAGGTGAGGAACGCGGGGCGCCGTCTCTTCAAAACGAGGACCCAACACCACAGGATGGTTGGGAAAAACAGAAGAAGGAGGAGGAGGAGGAGGAGGCGGCGCAGGAGGTAGTGCGTGACGGCATATATGCGTGGACGCCGCGACCGTGGCCCAAGCGGAGCGGTGGAGCGCGCTTGTGAGGTGTTCGCCTCGTGGCGGCGGGCTGGGGGGGGGGCAGAAGGGTGGGAATGGGGAACCTGCCGTCATGGATGCGCCCCCATATGATTGTGGGTCTCCCCCACCCCACCCCACTGGTCCCTTCGCGGCGGGCTCGCTGTGGAGACATGGGTGTTCGGGGCAAGGGATGTGGCAAGCGCTGCATGCTGCACTAGCTGCGAAGGCTTCCCCCCCGTCCTTTCGCCCTGGCGCCTCTGTCGCGTGCAGATCCGCATCCTTATCCTCCTCCTCCACCACCACCACCACCTCCACCTCCTCCTCCTCCTCCGCCTCCTCCTCCTCCTCCTCCTCCTCCTCCTCCTCCTCCCCTCCTCCTCCGAGCCCCCCCCCAGGCGCCGCCTTGAGGCGCTGAGGCGGCGCGCAGTGGCGGCGCCGTCGCCGCGAAAATCGTGAAAACTAAACCAACAGAGGCGTCGGCACTATCGCCCAGACCACCTGCGGGGCGTCGTCGTCGGCGGCGTCGTCTTTGTCATCGCAGTCTCAGTCGCCTTCGTCGTCGTCGGCATCGGCGTCATGGCCCGTCGTCGGGGCCGTCGTCAGCGCCAGCACTGTCGATGGCAGCGGCGCTCCGGGCGCAGTCGGCAGAGGGTTAGGGGGAGGCTGGGGAGGCGAGGATGCAGGGAGGAGGAGGAATGACGATGACAATGACGATGACGAAGACGACGGCGATGAAGACGACGGCGAATACGATGGTGATGCTGATGATGATGATGATGATGATGATGCTGATGATGTTGATGTTGTTGATGATGATGATGCTGATGGTGATGGTGATGGTGATGGTGATGATGATGATGATGATGATGATGGTGGTGGCGGTGTCGATGATGGCGTGTGTGAGGATGCTGACGGTGATGGTGGTGATGATGATGATGATGATGTTGATGATGCTGATGCTGATGATTATGATCATCAGCATCATCATCATCATCATCATCATCATCATCATCATCATCATCATCATCATCATCATCATCATCATCATCATCATCATCGTCATCATCATCATCATCATCATCATCATCATCACCATCACCATCACCATCACCACCATCCTCATCATCATCATCAGCATCAGCATCAGCATCAGCATCATCATCATCATCATGAGCATCATCATCATCACATTCATCACGGTGAAGATTAGGATGGTGCTGGTGATGACAGTGATGGTGATGGTGATGGTGATGCGAATGATGATGATGATGAGTGTGATGATGATGATGATGGTGATGAGGATGGTGATGATGATGAGGATGATGATGATGATGATGATTGTGGTGATGATGCTCCGGGTGATGCTGACGATGATGATGCTGCTGACGATGTTAATGATGCTGGTCATGATGCTGATGTTGCTGATGATGATGATGATGATGATGGTGATGATGATGGTGACGCTTGTACTGATGGTGATGAAAATGATGATGCTGATCATGATGATGATGGTGGTGATGATGACGATGACGATGATGGTATTAATGACGGCGAGGATGCTTATGAGAGTGATGCTGCTCACGATGACAGTGGTGATGACGAAATGTATGCTGATGATGTTGGTGATGGTGATGGAAACACTGATTATGAGTGTGGTGGTGGTGCTGATGCTGATGTTGTTATGATGGTGTTGGTGAAGAGTAAGATTAAGAAGAAGGGTAAGAAAAATTAGCCTGGCGAAGGACCCAACCATATGTAGTTGTGAGTAATGCTGGTGTGAGTACCGTCTTCGGTGGATCTCCCTATGGGGCCACGAACCGTTTGAGGGGTGTGCCGAAATTGGTGTGGGGGCGGCATGCGAACGTTGCCACCGGGGCCTTCGGTGGAGCTCCTTATGGGGCCACGAAACGTGTGAGGGGTGCACCGAAGTTGGTGTGGGGGCGGCATGCGAACGCAGCCACTGGGGCCTTCGGTGGAGCTCCCTGTGGGGCCACGAAACGTGTGAGGGGTGTGCCGAAATTGGTGTGGGGGCGGCATGCGAACGCAGCCACTGGGGCCTTCGGTGGAGCTCCCTGCGGTGCCACGAAACGTGTGAGGGGTCTGCCGAAATGGGTGTGGGGGCGCATGCGAACCCTGCCACTGGGGCCTTCAGTGGAAATCCCCATGGGGCCACGAAACGTGTGAGGGGTGTGCCGACATGGGTGTTGGGGAGGCATACGAACCAGGCCACTGGGGCCTTCGGTGGAGCTCCCTATGGGGCCACGAAACGTGTGAGGGGTGTGCCGGTGGAGGCATGCCCTGCCACTGGGGCTTCGGTGGGGCTCCCTATGGGGCCACGAAACGTGTGAGGGGTGTGCCGAAATGGGTGGTGGGGTGGCATGCGTGTGCGAATCGTGTGAGGGGTGTGCCGAATGGGTGGTGGGGAGGCATGCGGACGCTGCCACTGGGGCCTTCGGTGGAGCTCCCTATGGGGCCACGAAACGTGTGAGGGGTGTGCCGAAATGGGTGGTGGGTAGGCATGCGTACCCTGCCACTGGGGCCTTCGGTGGAGCTCCCTATGGGGCCACGAAACGTGTGAGGGGTGTGCCGAAATGGGTGGTGGGGAGGCATGCGAACCCTGCCACAGGCCTTCGGTGGAGCTCCCTATGGGGCCACGAAACGTGTGAGCTCCCTCCATGGGGCCACGAAACGTGTGAGGGGTGTGCCGAAATGGGTGGTGGGGAGGCATGCGAACCCTGCCACTGGGGCCTTCGGTGGAGCTCCCTATGGGGCCACGAAACGTGTGAGGGGTGTGCCGAAATGGGTGGTGGGGAGGCATGCGAACCCTGCCACTGGGCCTTCGGTGGAGCTCCCTATGTGCCACGAAACGTGTGAGGGGTGTGCCGGAAATGGGTGGTGGGGAGCATGCGAACCCTGCCACGGAGGCCTTCGGTGATGGAGCTCCCTAGGGGCCACGAAAACGTGTGAGGGGTGTGCCGAAATGGGTGGTGGGGAGGCATGCGAACCCTGCCACTGGGGCCTTCGGTGGAGCTCCCTATGGGGCCACGAAGCGTGTGAGGGGTGGAAGCTGCGAACCCTCACTGGGGCCTTCGGTGGAGCTCCCTATGTGGCCACGCGTGTGAGGGGTGTGCCAAATGGGGGGTGGAACCGCATGCGGGCCAGCCACTGGGGCCTTCGGTGGAGCTCCCTATGGGGCCACGAAACGTGTGAGGGGTGTGCCGAATGGGGTGGTGGAGGCATGCGGGCGCAGCCACTGGGGCCTTCGGTGGAGCTCCCTATGGGGCCACGAAACGTGTGAGGGGTGTGCCGAAATGTGTGGTGGGGAGGCATGCGAACCCTGCCACTGGGGCCTTCGGTGGAACTCCCTATGAGGCCACGAAACGTGTGAGGGGTGTGCCGAAATCGGTGGTGATGATGATGATGATGATGATGATGATGATGCTGATGATGATGATGATGATGATGATGATGGGAGGAGGGAGGGGGGGAGGAGGAGGAGGTGAGGAACGCGGGGCGCCGTCTCTTCAAAACGAGGACCCAACACCACAGGATGGTTGGGAATAACAGGAGACAGAGGAAGGGGAGGTAGAGGAGTAAGGAGGAAAAGGAAGAAGAGGAAGTATCCTCTTCCATTGCTCCCTCCTTGCAACCGTCCTGCCCCATCCACTTCGCCTCCTCCTCCTCCTCCTGGTGTTGCTCCTCCCCACCTCCCTCGCACTCAACATCCCGCCCCCGTCCTCGCCCGCATCCTCCTCCTCCTCCTCCTCCTCCTCCCTCCTCCTCCTCCTCCTCCTCCCTCCTCCCTCCTCCTCCTTGTGACAGCCAGCGCCTGCTACAGATAGGAAATGGAGAAAAGAGGCAAAGTAGGGTTTGATATATGATCTAAGGTACATACCCAAAGTACCCTGCAAATTCGAGCACTCATCCGTGCGCCGCGCAAAAGTACTATCCAAAGTACCCCCGCTTTTCGGGACAAGTACACAACGCAAGGCAAGTTTCGATCGCCGCAATACCATATGTACACACGCAAACTCGGGACCCCGCATCGGGGCCCCCGCGGCAACGCATGGCCTTGGCCAAACAAAAACCGAATCGTTTCAGCGAGGTTTGCCGTCGGCAAGGCTGAACCCGCCGTCTTGTAAACCACGCGCGGGCTGGGCGCGCGCAAAACCAACGGGTCGCGCACCAGGCGGCGCGCCGCGCATCGCAGCGCTCGAGCACCGCATTCCCGCAGTAGCGGTCAAAGCCAAAATGGCAACGGAGGTTTACGAGGGAGAGGCAAGGGAGGGTGGAACAGGAGAGGAGTGGCGGGGGTGGCCAGCTCAGAAAGGGGGGGGCGAGAGGGCGGGGGGCGAGAGGAAGGGGAAATCGGGGGAGGATCAGAAAGGGAGCACGCTGAAGAGGATGGAAAAGGAGTAGCGAGGAGGAGGGATGAGGAGGAGCGGCGTGGGCGAGGAGGAGACGGGAGAGGGGAATGAGGCAGGGGGGGAGAGGGGCGGGGGGGTGCGGAGGACGGACGTACAGAGGGGAGATGAGGAGGGCGAGGCAGAGGGGAAGGAGGCAGAGGGGAGGGCAAAGGGAGCGAGGACGAGACGGGAGGGGAGGATGAGGATGACGTAGAGGTAGAGGGAAATCGAGGTCGATGGTGGAACTCGAGGGAGGCCGCGGTGGCAGGATATTGCCAATGAGGGGGGATGGCGCGTCGTTGGCGGGGGGGGGGGGGGGGGGGGCGGGGGGGGGGAGTGAGGCGGAGGTGCGTGTGTGTGTGTGTGTGTGTGTGTGTGTGTGGGGAGGGGGGGGGGGGGAGGGAGATAGAGATGGAGGAAGGAATCTTCAAGAACATACTAAGGCTGAGGAGAAGACGGCGGAAGAGAGGAGGTGGAAAAAGTGGACGCGGAGAAGGGCGAGGGCTGGATGTTGACAAGCGGCGTGGAGGGGGCGGGATGGCGTAGGGGAAGGGCGTTGAGGAAGAGGGAGGCGGGTGGACGAGGACGGACGGGAGGGACGAGGTGGAGGTGGAGGGGGGGCTCAGGCATGGACTAGGGGCGTTGAGGAGGAGGAGGGAGGGAGAGGAGGATGAGGACATGGCACGGCGCCGATCCCCCCATTGCGCACTCTTCGCTCTCCACAACGGCAGGGGGGACAAGAGTCCAATAGCTTGGCCGAGCTCTGAAGCAAAGTCCTGCCACCCAGGCGCTTCCAAAAGGCAGGGCGGCGGTGATTCGCCGTAGGCGTCTTGGATTATTGACTACTACTCATATTCCTCTCAATGTATCCTCCCTCTCCTCATCCTCTTCATGATCCTCGTCATCGTCATCCTCGCCATCGTTGTCATCGCCCCTCTCTTCATCACCCCTTCCCCTCGGTCCACTTCCGCGGGCCTCGGGGAACGAGCGCTTCTTCAGGGTGCGCACCTGCTGGGGGCCTCTTCCGCTCGGCGGCCGCCGCAGCCGCCGAGCACATGCTGCGGCATCCCCTGCTGGATGCGCTCAGGCCGA